GAGACCAACGTATACTGCTGTGGGTGAACCTCGGAGCGCTTCCATGTCGAGCCCCGCAGCCTCGATGCTTTCATATACAACCTCGAGTAACAGTCGTTGTTGTGGGTCCATTGACTTAGCCTCGATAGGTTTGATGCCGAAGAACTCAGCGTCGAATCGTCGGTGGTCGCTGCCGAGGAAGTAGCCGTGACGTGTGTGACTAGTGCCCTGGTTGTCGTGCGAAGGACTGTAGAAGCCATCCGTATTGAAGCGGGTGATGGGGATGGATGTACGCACATCACGTGGATGCTCAAGCAGATCCCAAAACTGTGTCGCGTTGTTTACTCCGCCGGGGAACCTGAGCCCAGTTCCAATGATAGCAATTGGCTCATTTGATTGTTTGGTGGTGGGGAGCGCCATGGCTGAAAATTACCTGCGAGGGACTTGGTGCACAACTGAAAAGTCGAAATCTAAATCAAGGTAATCGTAGGACTTTAAACGACACATGAAGAAGGGACAGGCGGAGTGCCATATGCCGACCGTCGGTTACCAAACCAAGGCGGCGTTCGGACAGATCCATTCTTCCATGCACTGCACTTTCGTACAAAGCAGGTCAGGACACGAGTTGAGGGCTGAGACTTGGGGCCGAGGACGAGACAAAGGATGCCTTATCGGGCTTCCATCCCAAAGATCTCATGACATGTGTCAACGTCAACGAGGTGCACTTACCGTGCCTTACCAGAAAGTGTGAGCACTCGTTCCCAAAACAGGGACCCTGCATCAGCTGAGGTAAGGTGCTGGAGACGTCGACTAGGACGCTGGGTGGTCCGTATGTGCAGGCATGACTTTGGACCTTTGTCTCTACTCGTATCGATGTTCGAGACATCTTCTTCATTTACCAGTCAGGAGAGGTTGCTCGAGTTCAAGCTATCTATGTGAACTCCGTATCTCCCACGCAGCTAGCTAGCAAGTAGGTGCAGAACTGTCTTGCGTCACCGGCTAGCCGGCATATCATTCGGTAGCACCCGTGGCCCCGCGTAGGATTACTGCCGACACAAGGACTCTTGTCGAAGGCACCACATAGCTCAGTTGGCGACCGTGGCTCTGTGGTGTTTTTCACCTGTCGCATTGCGAGTTACGATGCCAAGTGGGATGCCTGAAGCCTAGAATAAGCGCCGTCAGCACGAGTCCAGTCTGTAAGGCATAGAAGTGCATCGGTGTCCAGATTGGCATTTCTGCGCCGCAGACTGGGCGCTCCATCCCACCCTGTCAGGTTGAACGATAACCGATTTAATATTGGAAAGATCCGGGTGAAAGGCTGCCTGCGGCCCCGGCCACTGAAGGACGATTTCGTACAGAGAAGAGAGTTACAAGGCGACACATTGAACTACCACAACCCAGATGGAGTTTGGCCTTCCATGTTACGGCCGCATCACACCCTCTCTTTGCCTGACTTAATTCGGGTCATGCATGCCCGCTTCGGAAGGCTGGCAAGAGGGCGGTGCCGTAAGCCCGGGTTGGATCAAGTGAGATGCGAGTGCGAGATGGGGAAGCGGGAGGACCCAGATCTGCAGGCCAGGTTTTCCATGTGGATCGATATCTTTGTACATGAAGCGCAGCAACGCCACGAATCCTGCAGGTAGACGCGTCCGTTCGGATCCGGGCTTGTGGTGTCTTCGTTTCCTTCACAATCTTCGAAGTGAGCTCCAGCTATTTGTACCTAGACTGAAGGGGTATGGGCCAGGATACCGCAAAGGATCTGCAAGGTCGAAAGAAGTGGTAGAGAAATGGTGAAGGACGAACGAGGTTGCTCTATTGACGGCCCGTTCGTAGTGGGCCCGCTAAGCTGCATTCAGCTGGCGTGGCAGCGACGACCTCCAGCCTTACTGACAGTGGCTCCTCCCGGCATTCGCGGCAGGAAAGATGCAACGAAAGACGAAGCTCAATTGTGTTATTGCACTATGGGGCACTGAAGTCTGCATAGCAGATGCAGACAATTGGAGGTTGCTTTTGACTGATTCTCAAGGAACGAAGAAAGAGCAGAGAGATTTCTAGCCACTAAGCATTTCGATGATGTGTGCATATGGCCAAGATGACCCCGCGTGGTCGCTGTAGTACACGTTAGAGTACTGTTACAAGCGTTTGAACCGACGTTGCAGCGTCGTCGTTGTGTAGGCCCGGAGGTCAGGATTTCTGTGGAGTCGTGGATTTGCCGGAGTTCAGCCGCTTCGATCTCGAGATTTACGGTCCGCCTTCGCGGCGACGTCCCCCAGCACACGACACATCGCCGCCATGAGGAAGAAGCCGAGGTTCCATTCGCTGAAGAAGCTGGTACACCATATCTCTCTCGACGAAACATTGAGCCGCCCTGCTAATGAATGTAGAAAGTCCGGCAGGACATGTCGCGCTGGACGCTGTACAGTCTGTCCCAGCTCCGGCCGCCCAACACGACCGCGCGCACCTTCTTCCAGCAGAAATGGACCGCCAAAGCCGACACGCGAGCGTACCACGGCGAGCAGATCCGCGAGAAGAAGTGGGCGCGCCTCTTCAAGCGGTCCATCCCCGCCGTCGTGCCCATGGACCACAAGTACCTCGCCAGCCACGACGGCAGCGAGCAGGCCGCCGGCCGAGGCGCGGGCGCAGACTCGAAGGACAAGCAGCGCACGCCGCCCATGACGCCGTACATGCAGATGGCCTACTACCCGATCGAGCGCCGCCTGGACACGGCCATCTTCCGCGCCCTGTTCGCCAGCAGCGTCCGCCAGGCCCGCCAGTTCTGCGTCCACGGGCTCGTCAAGGTCAACGGCAAGAAGATGCCCTACCCCGGGTACATGCTCAACCCGGGCGACATGTTCCAGGTCGAGCCGTCGAGCGTCATGTTCGCGACCGGCGCCAAGAAAGAGCGCTCCTCGACCGCCCGCCGCGTCGCCAAAGAGAAGGCCGCCGCCCGCGCCGAAGCCCGCGAAGCCCAGGGCGGCCAGACGCCGCGCCAGCCCAAGCCCGAGACCATCGCACCGTCCAAGGGCGAGGAGCCCACGCCCGCCGAGCTCAAGAAGCACCTGCAGGCCATGATGGACGACGTCGACGGCGTGCTGGCCGAGGACGTCGGCGCAAAAGACAAGCAAAAGTTCCGCGCCTTCCGCCAGACAGTGAAGCGCGCCATCGGCCTCTGGCGCTCCGCAAGCCCCGAGTCCATCTCAACCCTCGACACCCAGTTCGATTTCCTCAAGACACAGCTCGCAGGCCGGTCATCGGCCCCAGCAGCACGCACACCAGACGCCATCGAGGAGCCGCTGTTCAGCGCCGAGGACCAGGCGAAGCTGCGCCAGGCATTTGAGAAGCTGAAGCTCGAGACAGAGCACACGAGCGCGTGGAACAACCGCAATGCTGCGGCGCCGTATGCGACGCCGTGGCGGCCACGAGACTATATGAGCGCGTTTGCATTCATCCCGAGGTATCTCGAGGTCAATCAAAATATCTGCGCTGCTGTCTACTTGAGACATCCGGTTGCGAGACCAGGGTTGGCGGAGGTGCCGACGCCGTTCAATATCGAGACTGGGCAGCTGGCGTTCAACTGGTATCTGCGGAGGAGGTAGAGCAGGTTTGGTCAGTGTAGTATAGCAGCGTGTCTTGTATGATAGTGATAGACTGTAGCATACATGCGGCATCGGCGGTGTTCAATGAAGCAAGCATTTAATCCTCTTCGTCTCAATTTGACACCGCGCTTCTATGGTTGCTCTCTCTATCCAACCCATTTCTTCACCATCGCTTCGAGGCAGGGTCGCTGAGTGCCAACTTCATGCGAGCTTCCTTCGGCACATCTACAGCTCCCTTATTTCACAACTCGTCCATCTCCGTAACCAAAGCAGCAGGCTCGCGGAAGACCTCAAAGCGAGTAAACGATGCTGACTCCCCAGACCAGCAGCACATGTTCTCTCCACCCTTGCACCGGGCTTGCTTCCTCGTGAAGCGTTCCTCGAACCTTTCACCGCTAGCGAGGAGATATGCAGGACTACCCTCAGGCAGCTGAGAATACTATCTGTCATTCATGATTAGCCTCGCCAACCAGTCGGTTCAAGCCGACTAGACCTACTTTTCACCACGTCCAATTCACACACGGGCTATGGTATCATTCACACCGAGCCCAGCAGCGGAAAGACGGTTCGTCGGGGCATAACACACTCGTTGCCATCAATATTGGCCTGCTCATCGTCCCATCGCTGCTGTGTGTGGCGTGCATCGAAGACGGCTCCACTTAAAAGTGGTGATGTCTCGGGGCTTCTCGAACGCTCGCACGTCGAGCTTGCGCGACTGTGTGGGCGAGATGCTGACTGTTGTGATCTCCCCTTGTGTTGGTGATGTGCGTTGGGCGAAGTGAGATGATCATTGAACATCCACTGCCACAGCGTGGACGCGATTTGGAAGGACATAGCGGACGACATCGTGGGCAATGGAAACAAAGGTTGTGGAGCGATACGAGGACGAGCCGGAAAGTGTGGGCGAGAAAGTGAAATCGAAAGCGATGTAAGATATACAAACCCGAGTCCCTACCACGACTACATTGCGCCATGGCAACGCTGCTGTGTAAGGCGCCTGCATCACCACTGGCGCTGTGTCACAGCCCGCACGGAGCCGCATGGCCGAACAGATGTTCATACAGAGGGCTTACTCAGTAACAACAAGCATGGGCATGGTGACAGTCCGACCGTAGATCGTCACAACCGATGTCGAAGAATAGAAGGCAGTGTCGCGGGTGCTAAGCCCTGCGCTAGCGCGGATGGTGAGTGGAAGACCGACCGCACGAAACCTCTCACAGCCACTCTGCCAGCATGAACCCTCCAGAGCTCGATCTATCTTTGCGTAGAACCATTCCAACAATGACCATAAACTTTGACATCAAAACCCGGCAACGGATAGCAACTACATGTCATCCTGCTCGCGACAGATCAGGCGAGTGCCAAATAAGTTTTACCGGTCTATAACCTTTTTACCCCGCAAAACCGTCTTATAAGAAACTTTCAGACACGATGGCCGAGTGGTCTAAGGCGGTAGATTTAAGCCAATCTGAAGTCTTGCTCTGCATTTCTCGGTTGTGTCCGATCTCTACTACAGAAATGTGCGTGGGTTCAAACCCCACTCGTGTCATTTTGCCCTCCCCCACACCCTTTTGCTCTTCTACATTACTTTTATGTCTGTCATCACTCATCACTGCTGTGTTTTTGAACGCGAACTGAATGTGGATAGATAAGGTCAAGAGTGGTGCGATTTTGGAAGCTACAATTAGCGCGTCTGGCCTCCCTCATCCCCTTCACCATCACCCCGCACTTCCCACCCGCCCAACTCTACAGGCGGGGTCGCAACCTCGTGCTTGTACACAACTTTCCCTTGCTCCATCTCGTGTCGCTGATGGGTGCCGTCCATCTCGCTTCTGTACGGACTTGTATCTGCCTCAGCTCGGTTCACAGTAGCATAGCCCCCACGGTTCTCACCGTACTCAGCTGCGGCCCTCGCTTTTCTCGCTCGCTTCTTCCGCGCCAATATCCACAGCGCGAACCCGAGAAGTAGCGCTCCGCCTGCTAAGCTGCCGAGGACGGCTCCGACCAGTGTCCCTGTTGTGAGCCCGTGCGAATGATTGTCCTTTGAAGAAGAAGAGGTGGATGTAGGCGAGGCGGAGGGGTTGGGCGTGTCGCACATGTCGATGCTGTAGTACACGAACGTGCTGTTCCAGCACTGTCCGAGCTGAATTTCTTCCTGGTAGCCGCCGCATATTGTCGTCGAGGGGTCGTCGATGTATATTGTTACTATTGGAGGGTTAGCTGCGAGCATACGATCAGAGCGAGCAAGCGCAATTGGAGATCGAGACGCGCAAAGAAAAGAAAGATAACCGACCAGCACACCCCGGATCCAAGCCCACGACCTGCAGACTTCCATACTCGCCGCTGCGGCGGATGTCGGTGCAGGACCCGTTTGGATAGCCGTTGGGGCCTTCGAGGCCTTTGTACACGTCCTGGCAGTTCGAGTCGGTGAAGAGCGAGATTTGGCTCGCTGCGCGGACGCAGGTGGTGAGTGCGAGGAGCGCGAATTGGAAGAGTACTGTGCGCATCGTGTTTACATATGTTCTTGCTCTGAGTACTCGACGTTTGCGAGGTTGGGGAGTAGATCAAGAGCCAAAGGATCAGCTGTCAACGATCAACGATCAATGCAGCATATATGCCTCCTCGTCAGGCTGAGACGGCCATGCAGCGCATCCTGGCGACGTGCTGACAGTGTGCAGGCCCAAGCTGCGCCCAGATTTATCAACCGGGGCACAGGCGAGTGTTATCCTCTTTTGAAATGCGGCCCCCAAATTGAAGCTTGGCGTAGGATCGCGGCTGGGTGGATTTCTCCATTTGGACCGGGATGATGACTAGGGGTGCAGCTGCATGGACACCGAAGAGGAGTAAGTTAAGGCTGTCGAGGACATTGAAACGTAAAGGTGGGTCGACTGCTGGCATTTCCAAGCTGCAGAGAAATTTAGCCATGAGGATGGACTTTCTTGGAAAAGTGGAAGGTAGGCAGAGCTCGTCAGCAAAGCACCTGCAATGCAAGAAAGCTCTGGAGACTACAATGACTATTGTTGTTATGGTCAGCTTTTTCTACGTTGTGCAATGGTGTTCATGGAATGGGTGACAACGCCATTGTATGCAAATGTAGCATCGATTCGATCCAGACATAAGATATGGAGAGATAGAAATACTTTTCCCAGCCCAATCGTAATGGTATCGAGCACCATGGCCATGAAGTAACCGTAACGCCGTATATGCAATTAGCCTGCACCTGCAATCCAGCAGCGATCGTCGACTATGCGTCCTCCTTGATCTCCAACTTGCTCTTCTTGTCCTCGCCGCCCGCCTCGTCGTCGGCCTTGCGCTTGTTGCTGGTGTCCTTGACGACCGGGACGCCGTGGGCATCGCGCTCAATTTCCTTGGACTCCTTCTTCTCTGTCGCGGCGTCGTCCTTGCCATTCTGGAAGCGGTCGCGGCGGTTCTTCCAGTCGTCGCCGTCGACGGAGCCGCTGCGGTCGCGCCTAGAACGAGTATCACGGCGGTTGCGGTCATCACGGCCACCTCGCCCTCCACGTCCGCCACGGCCACCACGTCCACCGCGACCGCCTCGGCCACCAGACCTGTTGTCGCGGCCGTCGCGGCCATCGCGGTGCTGGCGCCTCTCGCCCTCGGTCATCTCCCAGTCGGGCTTGACGCCCTTCTCCTTGCACTTCATCTCGGAGTACTCCTTCTTGCCCATGGTGGTGAGCTCGTTGTCGTTGAACTTGGGGGTGGGGTCGAGGGCGAGGAACTGCTTCTGGCTGTCCTCGGAGTCGAATTCGACGAAAACGCTGCCCTTGAAGGCGCCGTTCTCCTCGCGCCTCTTGCGCACCATGACGGCGCCGTATGGGCGGAAGAACTGCTCGAGCGCGATCTGGCCGGGCTCGTCGTCGCCGAAGCCCTTTGCGTAGGCGCTCTTGCTGAGGTCGTTCGAGGACGCCTTCTTGAGGCGGTAGAACAGATCAGTGACGGACGGAGGGTTCTTCTCGTCATCTTCCTTGGTAGGGACCGAGATGGGCTCCTTGCGCTTGACGGCCTCGTTGCCAGGACCGCTGTGCTCGCCGTCATCGACAACAACGAGGTCCTTGCTTTCGCGGAGGGCATTCACGACGGCGCTGTAGGGCTGGAAGCGACGCATGCGCTTGAAGTCGGCAATGTGCTTGATGTCAACAGGGACGTTCTTGGGGCCCTGGAGCTTGGTAAAGAGGTGTTCGTCGGTAACGAGGTTGTGTGTAGAGAAGTAGAACTCGACCTAAAGCTGTTAGCGAGCGTCTGCGACTGATGAGTGAGTACGCACCTGGTTGCGAATCTCAACGGGGTCGTCGCTCTCGGGAAGGTCCTCGAACTCGTTGTTGCGCGATCTGCGATCATTCAGTCAACGCATGCGCAGCAATTGACGCAGCACCATTACTCACTTCCTGCCCTTAAAGCCACCGCCGCCGCGGGGTCCACCACGGCCACGGCCACCACGTCCTCCTCGACCTCCAGAGCGGTTGTCGCGGCGATCGCTTTTCTTGTCATCACCGCCATTGAGGTTCAGAATTTCCTCGCCGTCGTTGTTGGAGGTTTCGACCTTCTTGGGCTCCTCAGCGGGGGCAGCTGCGGGGGGGGCAGCAGTGTCGGACATTATGAGCGAAGTTTCTGGGTCGCAAAGAGGTATTCAGGCGGTCCAGGACCTTCTTATTAGAATCAAAGGTGTGAGTCGAAGCGTGCAGTCAGCGAGGTGCGCGCGAGAAGCTGTTTTCTGCGCCTGGAGAAATTAAGTTTTGCCGCGGTTCTTCCGCCGAGCCGCCCCGCTCGAGTTCTCCGCCCTTGCGAGGCTGTCCACAATCACTTTCAGTTGTGGCCTCCAGCACAATACGAACTGAGCCAGCTGCAATCGTGTCACTCGACCGCAGTACATTTCTGCTTGTTCTGGGGTCTTGGAGTAGCCTCTGCCTTTTTTGCACGAAGTCATCCTTTCCCTGGACCGGACTCATCTTCAGGAGTGACAGTCACCAAGCTGACGCTGTAAAATATCACGAAGCCAGCAAGACTCGATGATCAGAACTAGTATCAATGTCTTACTACATTGACCGTCTCAGCTATACCCCTGCCAACCGATTATACTGGTGACATACACTCAAGGCCTCCACCTGAACGAAGGGTGCCTCCAGTCCAAGTCCTCAATCTCGCCCGCCGACTTGCCCGCAAGCTCAGCATCCACATCGACCTGCGCACGCTTGCTGTTGCTCCTCTTCATCCAGAGCAAGAGCGCAACTCCCAGGATCAAGATAGTGCTGCTTGTACCCAAATTCAACCCATTGCCAATGCGGTAGTTAGGGCCATCGAACGGCAAAAAGCTCCATGTCGAGATCAACCCACCCACGTTTCCAAACATGACTATCGTGCCAATCGCCGAAGCGCGCGCAGTGTCTGTGACGACGTTTGCAGAGCCTTGCGCGTTGCAGAGCGCGCCGAAGGAGAATGCGCCGGACGCGATGATGAAGGTTGCGCCGTAGCGGACTTGCGACTCCGTGCTGGCTAGGAACATGATGTAGCCTACCATCATGAGCGGAGCACCGGCGACCATGAAGATGGTGCGCCTGTCGAAACGCCAGCTGAGGAAGGGGAAGAGGACGGTGAAGAATGCGCCGACAATGTAGGGCGGGACGGTGCGGAGTTGCTGGTGCACGACAGTCGCCTTTGGGTAGATCGTGCGCACGATTGTAGGTGCGAAGAAGGCAAGACCCTGCACAGTGATGTTGTCGAGCAAGAAGATGAGGGATGTCGCCAACACGACGGGATTGAAGATGCCGCGGAAAGTCTTCTTCCTGTCGAGTTTGTCGAGGACCTCGTTCTGTCCGACACGCTCAGACTTGACACGAGCGACGGCTAGATCCTTCTCTTCCTGCGTAAGCCACCTGGCTGTCTCGGGTCGGTCGGTGAGTGTGATGAAGGAGATCAAAGCCAAAAGACATGTGACAATGCCTGAAAATGTTAATATAAAGTGAGATGTTGATGCGACGTCACTTACCTTCAATAGCAAAGATCATCCTCCAGCGATGCAGAGAGCCGAATGAGTCCAAAGTCAAGATGGCAGAGGCCAGAAGACCGCCAAACGCGCCGGCAAGCGGTGCCATGACGATGTAGAGCGACAGGCGAAAAGCCAGCTCAGACCGGCGATACCAGCGAGACTGATATCGGTCAGCCTCAAGACATCAAATGGCGAAGACTCAAAAAAACGAACCATGTAGTAGGCAATACCAGGCAGCATGCCGGCCTCAAAGATACCCAGGACAAATCGGACTCCACAGATGCCGTGGATGTCATGGACAAACGCCGTGCCGATCGACGCAACGCCGAAGCACAGCGAGATAAGCGGAATGAACCATCCCGGACCCATCCACTTGCAGCAAATATTGGAGGGGATCTGATTGTTGTCAGCTATGAGGCCGCCGAGACGGTTTGTACGACGTCTTCGTACATCCTGGGAGAACCCACCTCGAAGATGATGTAGCTGATGTAGAATATAGACAGGACCTGGTTGTAGTCGTAGCCCTTGAGTCCCAGGTCCTTCTC